AAAAAAAGAGGATGCGCTACAGCCAACCGGGGGGGAACCGGCCCCGTCGACCGGCCGGTAGGACCGGTCCGGTTCCAGTTGGGGGAGGACCCCCCGGTCCTACCGGGTTTTCAGCACTGATTATTTTATTATTTTATAACTGGACTTTATTTTATAATTCTCAGATTACCTGTCGATGTTCCTATATTTGTACCATGGTAGACGATTACGCACCTTCCGATAGGTAAGCATGGCCACGCGCCCCCACAACTTTTCGCCCAGCTTCGTGACATAGACCTAAATTCAGGACATTGCCAGAGGAGTCCAAGTTTCTAAGTCAATTTCAGAGAAATAATTATTAATTTTGAGTTTAAAAAAAAAAATATTTATAGCCAACTTAAACCTAGAAAATTACAAGAGATTCCATCAGCATGGGAGCAAAAGGCAGCAGAACACTTGCGCACATGGTCAGACACACATTGTCGTGCACATTGGGCCTGACTACACCACTCACCAAATGCATAAAATGAGAATGAATCTTCCGCTAAAACACAGAAAGATGCACCGTCATAAGTTTTGTATTTTGTCCATCTGGCGAGTGGTGCGGCGAGTCCTATTGTCACATTCGGGCCCAAAGAAGTTACAACACACACGTCATACACATTGGGATAAAGACAAAACAAAGAGGAAGAGGAGGAGGGAGGGAGGAGAAGCAGCGGGAGGAGCACAAGGAGCAAGGCAGAAACGAGGCGGCGGCGACGGATGAAGAAGAAGAAGACGTGGGGAAGGAGGAGAAGGGGAAAAAAAAGGAGGCGGTGTAGGAGAGAGTTTCCTTGAGTGGGAGAGCGGACCAATCTTGGAGCAGTTCGGGGCCAAAGTGTCAATTTCAGCAGTTCTTGTCACTGTGATGGTGGAGGTGGTGTGTGGTTTAAAAAAAACTCTCTCTCTCTCTCTCTCTCTCTCTCTCTCTCTCTCTCTCTCTCTCTCCACAAATCATCACAAATCATCACAAACCATCCATGAAACAAAAAAGAAAGGTATAGATAGGCAAAATAGTAGAAGATGCAAGGTTGGCCATGTTTGTGTGGTTAAGAGCCAAGTGTGTGTGTGTGTGTGCTTTAGATTTTCCCCACAACAGCCCCAATTCCACCCAGGTGAATAGATTCAGAATCAAAGCAGTGTTTATCCTATTGCAGACAACGAGAGCATTTGAGATGTCCAACATATTGAAGCAATTTTATAATTAGACAGTTTTTTGGTTGTCCTTGGGGTACCCCTTTCATTGTTCTTGCAGCTCCCCTTTTACTGTGCCTCTGACGCGCAAGGCTGCCCACGTTGATTGTGGTTGAGCGGCAGCTGCCCACATCCCCGTGTGTGTGTATGTATGCATGTGTTGTAGATCTTCACCACAACAGCCCCTGTTCCACCCAGGTGGGTAGATCCAAATGTGTGTGTGTACAGTGTGCTGTGTGCTGTGTGCTGTGTGCTGTGTGCTGTGTGCTGGGGACAGTGGGCAGGGAGGGGGAGTGGAAGTGGGACTGGAACAGGGAAGAGAGGGAGGAGACTACTGAGCACACCTTTCATTGTCCCACTTCCACTCCCCCTCCCTGCCCACTGTCCCCAGTCCCACTTCCACTCCCCCTCCCTGCCCAACATATGAAAGCAATTTTATAATTAGACAGTTTTTTCGTTGTCCTTGGGGTACCGCTTTCATTGTTCTTGCAGCTCCCCTTTTACTCTGTGTGTGTGTGTGTGTGTGTGTGTGTGTGTGTGTGTGTGTGCATTTGTGTCTGTCCGCTTCTTCTTGCCCAATGATGCCTCAGAGTCTGACCACGTCAGTGTGCTCATCATCCTCTGTCCATCCTCCTCCTCCTCCTAATCCCAGCGCCGCCTATTGAACCTCCCCGCGCCGCTATGACTTCCACTGAGAGAGATGCTGTACTGTGTTACCTCTCCCCTTCTGTCGTCAACGCACCGGGTCCTACCGCACTGCTGCGCTAATTTTAGTGCTACACGGCCCGCAACCTCTGCACTGCTGTGCTAATTTCAGTGCTGCACGGCCGGCAACCGCCTACAGTGCTTTTGTCAAGCGGTTGCTTTATCGAGGACTGGGCCATTCCGGTACCCGAAGCTTCCACCAACTTCCATATCCCTGGCTGTTACTTTAACGCCCAACTTTATTTAGTATGCCTGAGCCTATACTTAGGGCCAGCCTGCAAATGGCTGGCCGTAACTGCTGCGCCCAGCTGCCCCCAGCCGGACCCGACAGCTGCGGGCAGGTCTGGCTCGCCCATGTCCCACCTGGCCAGGTGTGGCCAGGTAACGGGAGGATTGCCGTGCGCCAGGTTGGGGGCAATTGTGGTGAAAAAAAAGGGGCCAGTTGTGGGTGGCCTTTTGTTAAAAAAAGAAAGGAAATGGCCAGGTGTGGGCAGGTCTAGACTTGGCACGGGTCACCCGCCAAAAAGATATGCAATATTATGCATGTATGCATGTGGGGGTCTACACCCATGCATTTATGTCTATTGGGGTACTGGCCCCTAATTTTCATGATTTTTTTATTTTTTTTTAACAGACTACCGGTTTGCTGGAGGTGTTTGAATTTTGTCTCGTGACTTTTTTTCCCCCGCTCATATGTGGAATGCGCAGTTGTCTCGAGACTTGTAATTCATGCATGTGTACCTAGTTGTTCTCGACCTGCGGCTGGGCCAGGTTGTGAGGGTTTTTTAATGATTTAATCGCGGTTATGGCTGGCTGGGGCTGCCAAATATTATGGATGTTCAATATGGGTTGCGGGTGTGGCTGTAGGAGAAGTAGGAGTTTGCGAGCTCTGCTTTTTATGGCTGGGGCAATTTGATGCGGACGGCCGACGCTGGGCACCGCCAAGCCGAACGGGCCTTGGAAGAAGATGTCCAGCAAAGGACCAGCATAAAATACCATGCCCAATGAGGAAGAAAATCAGGCAGGGCACCGAAAAAGAAGAGAGCACTGGTATGCAGTGTGCAACAGTTATGGCAAAATGCACATTTCACATGATTTCAGTTGGCATCTGCACAAGCTCACGTTTTTTTTTTTTTTTTTTTTTTTTTTTTTTCAGACACTACTACACTTGTAGTATTAACATCCGGACAAAAAAGGGGGGGAAAAAAGCCGGAAAGCGGGTTCAGAGTCCCTCACAAATGTTGCACACCCACTCTTCCCTCCGTTACGGGCGTGGAACCCCGAGACAAGGGCATTGATTATTGATTAAAACATGGGTGTGAAAGTCAAGCTGGCTCCATCATTTATTCAGCTCACAACGGTTTATGCAGTGGGATCAAGTCCTAAGGGAATGCTTTCGAAGTGGCACTCGAGAGGAGAATGGATAGAGAAGAGAGAGAGAACCCCGGTCTTGTTTTCCCATCACCTCCTTTTTCGTTCGGAGAAGATATATCAGGAACCAACTTCTACGAGGACTCAGCACCAGACATATCCTGCTAACATGGTGCATGGTAATCGTATCTCATGGATTCCACATTACCGCTTGTCCACTTTTCTTTTCTTTTCCTTTTACTTTCTTGCCCATACATCGATGCACTTTTTCTTCCAGCAACCCTGGCTCCTTAGCACCGTCCCCCTGGGTCAGGTTCTTTCTCTCCTTTTCTTTTTCTGTCTCACCTTCTCCCCTCCTCTCCTCCCCTCTCCTCTCTTCTCTTCTCTTCTCGTTTCCTCTCCTCTCCTCCCCTCTCCTCTCGTCTCGGTTATTTTCTCTCTTCTCTTCTCCTCGTCTTCTCTTCTCTTCTCTTCTCTTTTCTTCTTTTTTTCTGAATTTTCTCTCTTTCCAGAACAGACTCACTACTCCTTTCACTGATGTTTCCTTCATTGCTAAGGAAAGAAGGGAAGGGTCTCGCATGGCAGCCACAGTTTTCGATATCATGCCCTCCTCGGGGGAAAATATTTAAAACAAAAAAAATCAAGCCAAAGGTCCCAAACAAAACACCTACTCGTTGGTTACCTAAGGTCTGGCCTTGAGCTTAGAAGCATTCTTTTGTGCCTGACTTGTGATCAGACCTGAATCTCTCTGGCAGACTATATCTCCCACAATGCAGCACATCAGATCTTTTGTGACCAGGGAAAGACGTTTGCTCGATATGACCGAAAGGTTTTCTACTAAATTTCTAGTGATCATCACCTTGCGATTGCCTTCAGTAATCCAGTGGCCCTTGCCTGGCACTCCTCCTGTCTGTTGCTGCTGCTGCTGCGACTGCTGCTGGCTGACAAGTCCTGCTCTTGTCGACGCCCACCCGGGACCACCACCATCACGCGCAAACTGGGAGCGGAATTCCCTCTCAACAGGATGCACTCTTCTCGTCATTGCTGGCTGAGCACTGCAGCCATTTCCTCCTCTCATGGAAGAGCCCGCCATACCTGTACTTGTGCCTCCCGGATCAGAACACGCTATGAACTGGTTCCTGTCCATAAAGCCAATGTTCACCATCCACATCAGATACACCACTACCTCGTTACGAATCGTGGCGCTCATAATTTTTTTTTCCTTGAACTTCCCAATTTATTATTTCATGCCATTGAATTTCTATTCTTTTTTTTTTTTTTTTTGGATTTCTATTCTCTCTTTTTCTTAGGGAAAGAACTGTGAGTATTGGCGACTGGGGGGCTTCTGATCAAAATCCAAATCCAAAGAATGTTTAAATTTCTAAACCTGGGTAGCACCGCGTACAAGCGCACACATATCCGTGTATTGGCGTACGTATTGTGTACGTATGCGCGCGGACGTATTTTCGGGCCCCGCGTACGTGGTTGCAGCAGGCCATTGTTGGGTCTGTTTTGGCCCGGTAGGGGTATGGGGGTGGATGGAGGGGTGAGTAGGGGGCAAAGTGGGGCCGGTGTGTGTGTGTGTGTGTGTGTGTGTGGGGGGG